GCTGATAAAAACAGTGTTGTTCCAACGTTTGGGACCCTATTAACACCTAACAAAGTAGGAGAATGGCAGAGATACGCCTTAACGAAATGGTTCACTAAAACATCAAATTTACAGTTTCCTCTTGCCTAGGCCTGTCACGATCATAAACATTTTAGTAGACGATTAATTCCTATTTTAAAAAAATGTGATTAACACATTTGTCTTTTTTGTTTATTGTATATAACTATTAAAGTACAAACCTGAACTGTTTAAATTGATTAGCTATTTTGCTTAATAGCTGTTGAAGATTAGTAGCTCCCAAGTGAGGCATAGCTCGAGCTCAAATAAACAAACATTACTCACCGCCACCCTCTAAATGTGTAATGGCACCAGCCTGAATGTGTCTAAACAACTGCGTTCTTGTTTTTATAACTCCATTATATACAAGTTATGATGACTGAAAATGTGATGGAATATTTAAGGCTAAACTGATCAACACTCTGAACAACGTTTTATCAGTGTTTGACCTTCTAGTGTCAGTTTTCCAAGTGACATAAGATTTGGATGAATAATAATAAAAAAAAAGGAATAAAAAAAATTCTCTATATATTTTGTGTGAAGGGTGGAAATGTTCCACTTGACGGACCCTGCTAAGAATGGAGAAAACAACAAGACGTCAATTTAAAAGTAAAAGTCAAAACTTACCAGCTTTAAACACAGTCATTCTGACGGTTTGAATGACATCACTTACTCTATATTACGTAATTAAATGCGGCAGAATATTGTTTTTGTGGCTAAGTAAGTTTTAGGGTGACAAAACTCACAGATAAGCTATTATATTTTTTTGTCTATACAGGTATGTAAGAATTTACATACTTAAAAAAACAAAAATTCTTGCAGTAAAAAATTAAATACTACGTTAATGATGATCTTTCAATTAATACAGTAGTATGCAAACTACATACTTACAAATTACATGTTTTGTTGATGTTCTAAGTGAAAATAAGTACATATTTACATGGCAGACGCTCTTATCCAGAGCGACTTACAATTTGATCATTTTTACACAGGTAGGCAAAGGTAGTGTTAGGAGTCTTGCCCATGGACACTTATAGGTATAGTGCAGGGTGCTTACCCAGGTGGGGGACTGAACCCCAGTCCACAGCAAAGAAGGCAGAGGTATTAACCACCACACTATATCAACGACTATATCAACCACATATCCTCTACATAGAACACATATCCTCTACATAGAACACACTACGGCACATTTTAATGCACAATTGCTGTTTATTACTGATTTTAGCATATTGGGGGGGGGGAATAAAAAAATGTGGCCTGTGCAAAAATGATGGCATATTTTGTAGTGTGTTTATATATACACTAATAAGATAAACGCAAAACAAATAGAAACAGTGAATAAAAAATTGCAGAGAATGTCATATTTAAGTTTGTTCCCTGTACAGGATGTTTTAACTTATGTTCACTTAGAAAAACAAGAAAAAGTAATTTTCCCACAGCATAAACTGTTCAAACATTTGCATATAACTGTATATTTAAGCTTGAAAAACACTCATTGTCAGATATTTGTATCTTACACAAAGCACTGAAGGTGGATTTAAATGGCTGTCTCTTTACAGAATGACTCAGACTTCTTTTAGCCTTGTAGCTGAACTGCAAAACTACAGAAGCAAACTTCAACTTCAAAAGCAAACACTGGACACCAAACATGTCTTGGCAGACTGGCTACATTTAAGATAAGGGAAAAACTTTATCAATATAATATTTTGATGAATAATTCCTTTTAAAGTCATGTTGTCAGAATACACAAAGATTTAGTTTGTAATTGTCTTCAAATCTAACCAACCACTGCATACGTTTAACCTCTATTTGACATCTACATTTATTTCTAATCAAAGCCAATATATATCAGCAGCTGCAGCTACTGCAAAAGTGGTTATTGGTGTCTCTCCCGGAGGAGTAGCAGAGATTTACGCAATCTATTACAACACTATGATACAGCAAGTAAATAAGTATTTCAATAAATCCTGAACCATGACACATGACTCACCCATCAGAACTCATGAGCCCCCAGTTGGCCATTCTGAAACCTCCTCCACCAGTAACAGGAACGTCTTAGCACTTCCGCAAGAAAATATCAATCAAGCCTGTGTCTCTATCTCTCTCTATCTATTGCTCACTGTTGTGCGCTCAGCACAATACACCAATTGTGAGAACAATAATTTGATCCTCTAATATTAGCAAGGGTTAAAAAAGGAGAAACTACATATTTATTATAGTCTTGTTGCTAGGATATGGTAATAAAATGGCCATCACAGTCTTGTTGTTTATCCTTAAATGATGAATATATATATATACACCAGTATACAGATACAGAGTACAGAGATATACAGATTACATGAAAAGTGCACCTGTCCTAAAACGAGAGAAAGAGAAATGTCTGAATGTTGTGCTATGACATCTCCAATCTGGAAGACTAAACGATCAAAAGAACACTCTTTTCGACTTATCTCACAGAACTCCACATTCATAAGAAAATGCAAAAGTAAACTGGTGACCATGTTGGTCCAAATCAAAGCCAGGCTTTGTCTGTGTCCTTAAGAAACATCTGGGACAGCGAAAATAGATGCAAGGTCCTGCTAACATTTGTCCAATGTTAATGAGAAAAGCAGTGATGCTGAGGTGAAGAGCTAAAGACATCAGAGCATGGCAGGTGTGCATTCTAATGCTTTATTCATGATGGCCCAATTATGAGCAACCATGAGCATTCAGACAGAAGTGCAATGACATTTTAAGCAATATTTAAGCCTTTATAGACACCTTGTTGATTAGGCATGGTAGTAAATGTCAACCCAGCATAAACTATGCATGCATTATCTATATAGGGTAAGTGAAATCAGTTTTTTTTTGGTTAGAGAAATTGCCCCTTATGCCTAAATGACAAAGAGTGTGTTTATCTATTGGATAGGTTCTGTCAAAGGATAAAAACTGCAAATGCCACGCATTCATAGTTTTCACTGAGGTCCAAACCAAATTGCAGCTCTGGCATTTGACAGTTCACGAGGCTTGTGTTTAAAAAGCACTAATGTCACAGAAGCTTTCTGTAACATTTCAACTTCTTGCAGTGCAGGAAGGGTGTAATTGGTTAAGAAGCTATTATGCTTTACTTTCAGGCCATGAGCATGAGGATTAATGTCTCCATATCCAGGCTTCTTACAAATACTTCATGCCTGTCTGAAGCAAAATAAAGCCATTTTTTCCCTTAGATAGTATTGGGACGATGATGATGATCGCTATTTTGGGATATCACAATGATATAAATAAATGCAGATTTTACACAAATTATTGTTCTTTTGTTCTCTTTCACATGCCATGTGATTTTGTTATCATGGATTTCCCTTTATTTAAAGGCCCCATATCATGCAAAATTGAACTTTTTAAATAAAAGAATTTGAAGTAGAACATAAACATCGCTTAAATTTCACTCCCAGGCCTATACAGTCTGCAAATAGAACCTAAGCTGTAAAAACAGACCATTTTGAATTCACTGTTTCTGTGATATCACAAAAACCAGAACATTTAAATCTAACAATATATATAGCCCCACCCATTCATGCCGAAGTTATAAGTGAAGTTTCGTTATGAGTGTTTCAGCTTTTTAAATTTGGTACAATACAGGGCTACCAATCAGGACAGAGCTCATTTAAATAAATCAGTCTTAAAGATGCAAAAACAAAAACAGCCTGTTAAATTTTAAGTGATAAAAAAAAAGGTTGAAAAATGGTCTATTTTTTTGGTACATGAAACAACACTGATATTATACGTGGACCTCATGGAGAAAAATGAAATGCAAGATGTAAATGTAGGATATGGGCCCTTTAACCACCCCTATAGTTAGATTAGTATGATCTATAAAAATGTACACAGTAGAATTGCACTTATTATTTTAGGCTATACAAACAGAACACCTATTTAACACAATGCTTTGAACACACACATGCTTTGAACTCCACTGGAAAAGGTTATAACATAGATTTTCAGACTGGCAAAGACTGCTGAGAGTAGAAATGAGATCTACTCTTCAGTAGAGTGTAAAATGGAGCTCATCCAGACGCAAGATGCCAACACACCAGTCTGGCAACATTGTACTTTTTAACCAAACGCAAAATACAGTTGTCATTATAAATGATTAAGTATTACTGAGTAATATTAAGTTTGTGATACCGTCCAAACTTACCCTCTAACTCTTAGATTTAAAAACAGAACCTCTGAATGCTGACCAGACAAGATTTATGAGGAAAGTTGGGGGAGGGGGTTATATGCCAGAAGATTCTGTTGTCCTGAGGGTGGTTTTCAATACATCTGCTTGTAATGTTTGCACAGCAGCCTTCTTGACCAATGTCTATCTCAGAGAAGCTGTATGTAGGCCAATGAGGCTCTTCATCAATGGAACATACAAATCCACTGGAACTGTGCCACCCAACATTTCACCCATTTTGCACTGGTGAGGTCTCAGCTGACCAATCACACTCTCTCTGGGGACAGTCAACTTTTCACAGCCGACGCAGAAAAACAGTTAAAACCGTTAGCAAGACCTCAGTCTGAACATGTAACAGTGAGGGACCACATAAAGCTCATCACTGCACGGGCTACCCTGATAATAAAACAGTCAGAGAGAGTTGCCAGCCAAGACCTGGATCCATTAAATGGTTGTAAATAAACAAGTGAACACAAAATCATGCCATTTAGAGCATTCCTGCACACATTTCTAGGCAGAGGGACGATATCCCAGTCTGCGTTTTCCTCACTTATCCATGAACGCTCACTGCTGCAGTAGCTATCACAACACAACTGCCAAACCAATACGCCCACTTTTAAAAACCCTTCAACTTCACCTAAACGAGCATGTAGCATTTTGGGCCGCGTCAAACGGAACAGAAACATAACCTGGTTAGGCTCCACATGTATTACAGGGCAGTTTAGACAACAGCATGGCTCACCTTTTCAGTACCTTCTGTAGTGTAGGCTACGTCCAGCTAGATGCTTCTGGCTGTCTGCATCAGCGCCAAGAAACAAGGGGAGCGCCCATCTGCTTAGGGACCGTCTGCAAAGTCACACCGGTTTCACATTCTCAGGGACAGTGTCGGTGTTTTATTCTTGTGATTTGTGGAGTTGCCACAATTAGCCCTCTGTGCCTTGGGAATGCGCTAATGCTGGCATGTACACCGTTTACATGCTTCGGAAAGAGGCGAAATGTAAGGGAACATGTGAGGCAGTGGAAAACAGCGCTTAGGGATGCTGTTAAAATTCACTGCCATCTGTCGGTGAAGGGTGTTATCGCACGTGTATTGCAGCACATGCACGTAAATAGCCTACGGTTCGCCCCCTTGATGATAAATAGCATTTAATAACAGACGAACACGTCTACCTTGTAATTCATAATGGAAAATGCCTACACATACATAAAGTCTGGGTGAAATTTAGACAGGCAATACACATCCACACAGATGTGGTTATCTGCCCTTGCTTTTTTGCCTCCATAATCTTGAGATTTTCCTCCAGAAAGGGTAACCACACCAACAGGAGGTGCTACACGATCTATAGACAAAGGAAACATGGCATGATAGATGCACAACCCGTCTAGGTAGCCAAATTTTCTTTTTTGGGGGGAATGAGGTGTTTCCCTGTTTGTGACGGGCGTGAGGGATGAAAACAGCTCATCGGATATAACCGGCTCAGGTAACGCACGCGCGAAAGCTTAAGATTCTATTAGACAGAAACGGTCCTCCTTAAAAAGGACACGCAACGTCAGTATAAACATAATCTGTCATGCAGAAGCCGCTGCTAGTTGACTGTACAGCAGATTTAGAGGTTTCTGAGCTTTCTGATTCTTTTTGCGTCGTCTGGGTACATTGGCAGTGCATGCTTGGTTTGCTATTGTTATCTCAAAACGCTCTCATACGTGCCAGACATGCGATGTATTCTCAGGCCGTAATAATGACTGAATTTAATAGTAATAACAACCATAATAGCATAGTAATGGTACATTGTATGTATTTTGAGTTCGTGAGGGAATCTAAATGTGACAAATCTTAGAAAATATGTTTAGAAATTCATTATTTGAATATGAGTCTCTGGTTATTTCATTCTAGCACAATTTTGCTTGGAGCTTGAATCATGATTATCTTGAGCTACATCATTAACCTGTTCTTAAATGAATGAGACCAGTGCATTAAAAAAGACCACAGCCTAATACGTTCCTATATTTTATTTTTCCCCCTGATGCCCTCTTATGACTTTTGTGTGCTTTTATGCACCAAAAACAGTCATATTTCATTTTCCAGCCTCTATTTATCTCAGAATTAAACAGGCTGTTTCTATGACTGTGGATTTAAGACTGATATATGTAAATAATCTCTGTTATGATGGGCTCTCCTGTATTAAACATTCAACAAACAGTGCAGGCTGAAACACCCCTTTTAACTTCAGTACGAAAGGGGTGGGGCTAAACTGCTTTAGGCTGAACAGGCAGATGTTTGTAAATGTGCTGGTTTTTGTGACATCACAAAAACAATGCATTCAGAATGAACTGTTTTTTTTTCAGCTTAGGCCTGTTTTCCATATATGGATCGTATGGACTGAAGAATAAAGAGAATGTTTAACACTGTTTACGTACTATATCAAACCCTTTAAAAAAAAAGCAATGAAATTCTGTTTTTCATGATATGGGCCCTTTGATGTGAACATCCTCAGTCCACTATTCACAGACTGTGATAAAGCTTCAGCACAGCACAGGTGTTGTTAATTAATCAATATCCTGTTTTCTCAGCTAACCACAGGGATGCTGGTCAGGATGCTCAAACTGCGAATGCTCAATGCAATTGCACCAGCCTACTTCTACATTGCTACAGTGGTCACCATCATTCTCCATTTCTTCCTCTTCATCCCAACTATTTTCCAAGCCTCAGGTGTTACGCTGAGTCCCATCGTGCTGCTCCCCACAGCCATCTTCCTCTTCCTTATGGTCAATGCTCTCGGTAATTACTCAATGACTATATGGTTCCCAGCAGAGAGTGCCAACGAGAACATTATTCCAGTCTGTTCACCGGACTGTCCGGACAGAGTGGACGCGCACTACCTCCTCAACGGCCGGCACTTCTGCAAACTGTGTAAGAAAGTGATTATGAAACGGGACCACCACTGTTTCTTCACTGGAAACTGCATTGGGAACAGGAACATGCGCTACTTCATCATGTTCAGCATATACACCTCCTGTACTTGTCTGTACTCTCTGGTGCTTGGGGTGGCGTATCTCACAGTGGAGTATTCCATCTCCTTCGAAAACCCACTGACGTTCCTCACACTTCTGCCCCTCTCCACTGGGTACTTCTTTCTTGGTAGGTTACACTTTCTCAGAAAGTGATTTTTCCTTTCTTTTTCCTTAATACCTTTGGTTACAGTAGAATGGAATACAGTCGAATACACCATGACTGTCCAACCATATTGTAAATTTGTCTCCTTCTGTCACAGTAAATCTACATTACAAGCATTCACAACAAACAACATATAAACAAAAAGCAACAGTTGTTAAATGATGAACATTAAAGTGATGGTTTGGCAAAAATAATCTAATTTACTTAGTTTTTCCACTTAGGCTTAAAAGAGATGAAGCATTTAAATAGTAAATAGAGAAATTTATATTTACATAAAAAATAAATACTTAGCAGGTCAGCCCTAAATACATGTAATACATGTAAGAAAAGTCTATGTCAGCTGAAAAGCAATGGAAGTCTATGTCACCCTTTTTGAGTGACATAGACTTTGCCTCTATTAGGTGCAGTGTGTAAGATTTAGTGCCATCTAGCGATGAGGTTGCAGATTGTAACCAACTGTATATCCCTCCCTCACCTCTCCTTTTCCAAACATGTTGCAGGACCATCATGACCATAATATTTTTGTTGCACTAAATCAGTGGACTCCAACCCTGTCCCAGAGAGCTACCTTCCTGCAGAGCCTAGATCCAGCCACAATTTGTCACACCTACTCCAGCTAATCAGCCTTTTTCCAAGTCCCTGATTGGCTAGACCAGAAGTATTAGTAGTACTGGATTGCTGGATACAATTTGGAACTACACGCTGAAGGAAGGTCCAGGACCAGGGTTGGAGACCACTGCGCTAAATAATAAGTATGATCCTCCATTTGTCAAGCTCAAAAATGGTTATCCAACACTGGCAGCAACCACTGATTCTTCTTCTTTCTACGTCTTTCAACTGGTGCTATAGCCCCACCAAATTCAAGCTGCTGCTTCAGTGTAAAAAAGCGAGACACTCTCTAGAGCAGGCATATCAAACTGTGCTGTGGAGATTAGCTTTTACCCTCATTCAACACTCTGAATTCAGTTGAATCAGGTGTGTTTAATGAGGCAGTGTGCTGAAGTCTGCAGTGTTTTGGCCTGCGGGGACTGGAGCCTAACGCATGTGCTTCAGAGCCAGTGTTTGGTTTGTCTGTTCTGGGTTACTGTAGAAAATGGAGGTGCAACATGGCGGCCTCTGCTGAAAGAGGACCTGCTCCGTATATAGAAATGAAGGGCTCTTTCTACGCTAACGAAAACACAGTGAATCATAGTAACAGGTGATTATACACTAATGAAAACATGGCTTTGTATACTATATTCCATTTCTGCTAATAGTTTCTGCCTAAGTCTTACACACTGCACCTTTAATAAAGAAGAAAAAACTTTGGACAAAAAACATGCCTTGGCTGTTCAACAACATTTGCAGTAAAGAGTGTGCAAATTGGATTTTTTCCCCCAAACAGTTCCTTTAAGAATGATGTAGGAAGCTAATGGCAGTGGGAATAATAGCCTTATTCTAAAGCTTTTCCAAAATGTAAAATCTGTAACTCATTGTTAAGAGGATGGCTTACAGATATTCTCTCTCTTTTTCCCCACTTCTCGTGTAGGTACTATCTCAGGCCTTCAGTTCTTCTTGGTCCTTATGCTCTATGTGTGGCTGGGCATTGGGTTGGTCAGCGCTGGTTTCTGCTGCCAGCAAGTTTTGCTCGTGGCCCGTGGACAAACCTGGTGCCAGCTGCAGAAAGGGCAGCTGGTGGAGAGCCGAGGAACGTGGCGTTCCAATTTGAGTGATGTGTTTGGTTCCCGCTGGGTGCTGGGTCTTTTTCTGCCTGTACTGACGGTGGAGATCACCCCTGGAAACTGGCAGAGATACCATGAGCACAAACATGACTGACCTTGAAATATTACAGCCTTTGTGATGAAGTACACATTGTGTACTACATCAGCCCTCCTACATGATCTGTCCATCAGTATATACATGATGGTATTAAAGCTGTATATATGGTGATTACATCAGATGCCTAGAATGAGGCTGTAGTTATGATCAGGGACATGATCTCTGTCTTTTAGGTTTTTTTTTGGAGGACGGCACAAATAAATAGAACAGTATTTGTTACATCATCTACTCAAGGGCAGGTTACAGCACATTGCTTACACAACTAGCCTGCCAGATAATAGAAAACCATTATATTGCTCATTCAATGCACAATAGAGTCTATTAGGAGGCTGTTCTTTATCACAGGCCTAATTATGCTGAAGATGCTAGTCTAGTTCAGTGCATCCAGGCCACCCCAGATGTACAATGCATTTAACAAGGTTAAAATACTTTTTAAAGCTAACTTAGAAAAGCATGCCACTCAACAGTCAAACACCTCTTAACATAACTGTTCTTATAATCCACCATCACACATTTGAAGCAGCACTTACTCATAAGAGCTAAAGTGAAATATAATTGGCCCAATTGTAAAAATGGCCCAAACCTTGTTATCACAATGTATTATCAAGACATTCAGAACCCCTTTCATCAGAAACCTATACAACATATTTTGACTACTACAGTTATATGAAGTGCGCTATATGTCCAAAAGTTTGTAGACATCTCCTTATCCAAAATTTCCACTGAAATCAAAGGTATTAGTAGGGAGTTTGTCCCCTCTTTGCTGCATTAGCTGTCTCTACACATTGAGGAAGACAGGATGTTGGAACATTGCTGTGAGAATTTGATTGCATTCAGCCACAAGAGCATTAGTGAGGTCAGGTACTGGTGATGGATGATTTGTTCTGGGTTAGAAATGCTGTTCCAACTCATCCCGAAGGTATTCAATGGCACTCAGCACTGCAAGAAACAGTCAATCATTCTCCTAACGCAAAATTTTAGTACTGCATCTCAATTAGGTCAACAATACAGTTTAAGTTGAGCTTACTGAAAAAAAATACAGTTAATGTGCTGCCTCTTTAGAAGCTGAAATTGCTTTACAAAACAGTTGAGCTTACTCAAAAGCCATAAACCTCTGTATTGGCTGAAGTTGCTTATGTTTTTTGTTGAATTTTTACTCCTCCCTCTCAAGTTGTCATTGCTAATTCCCACCTGCAGATTAAGACTCCATCGATCACATGAAGCTCCCAGGCTGGGGGGTAGTTAATAGGTCCTCCTCTCAGACTCCTGAACATGGAGGGCTGGGACATTGCCAAAATCCAAACTCAGGATTTCCTGTTGATCAGGCAGTTTGATCTGGGTTCAAATAATTCCTCATGCTCAGACAGCGAGCATTGTCTGAGCGTAGATGAAGAACAACTACCTGTGCTGAAACACATTTACTAAAGCAAATTTACTGAAAGTCTTTTTTTTTTAATTTTGGTATCACACATTTTGAAATGTTTTCATTCTTTCTTTCTGTAATTTAACAGCTCTAGAACAGCACAGCTGTCTAAATGCCCTACTGTCTGGAGTTAGTGATGCCATAGCCCTCCATCTTTGGGAGTCTGAGAGTAGGAACCACCTCCTGGTTGATAGAGGGAGTCCTAATCTGCAGGTGAAGAATAGCAATTCACACATTTTGGGGGAAAAGGAAACCTTCAAAAGTAAAAATCTAACACAAAGTTAACCAATTTTGGCCTATAAAGAGGCTTATGGCTGATTTATTCTGCGTATGCGTATCTGCGAACATGTGCTCAAACGTTCTCTCGGATGTCTGCCAACATACTTGCACATAAAATGAATGTGTACACTAGGAGGCAGTGTTAAAACTAGAATACACAGAAAACGAAGCGGAAAGTCTTGCATTTTCACTCTTACTTTCCAAGAATGAATATTCACTTCACTTTTTGTGTAATCCTTTAAAGGAGTGTAAACTCTTCTACCAACCGATCCATAACTTCTCCATTTGATTTTGCTCTAGTTCTGGTTTGTCTCGAGTATTGTTAGGGTCTCGTCCACCCTCCATCATTACTGGAGAGCCTATTAGCATTTGTTTCCTATACAGCTCTGCATCTCACATATTTACAAATCAGCCTTTAGTTTTTTTCAGTAAGCTCAACTGCATTGCTGACATAACGGAGACACAGTACCAAAAGTGTGAGTAAGAGGGACTTTTGACTAAACTAAGTTAACTCAAAAAAGCTGTGAAATCAATTGTATTATAATTTTAATTTGGCCTGATATCACTTTTTTATAGTGCATTACTCCAGAGAACACAGTTCCACTGCTCTACAGACTGATGATGGGGAACTTTTTTCCTCTCGAGCTGATGCTCAATGGCTGCTCCAGAGCATTCTGTCCTATTAGCAATGCTTTGCCATTAAGATTATACAAATTGTCCCAATGTTTGTTACAGCAATAAGTGCACCTGAAAGTAACTGAATTCACTTCTGCTGGATACTTTTGGACATACAGTGCATGTCAGTATTGTCTATCACGTTTTGTGTAGGTCATCAGTGCATGACCGTTTGCAGTAATGTCTGTAGTGCATATTGTTTACCAGTGTTTTTGTTTTTTCTTCATCAGTAAGATCTTCCTCAATAAATTTGCCATGCATAGCCTCCTCATTCCTTCTTTAGATTCAAATGCCCAGTGTTTGTAATGCACTGCTCAGTCTCAATGTGTATGCGGCTGTGCCTTTGAAAAATTCTTGTAGACTAATTAGTATTAATGGGCATTAAAAACCTAACATGCTTAACTGTTGGGTGATACTGCAGTGACCCAAGGCCAACGTTTATGTCTACGTTTTAATTATTCTAAGTGCGCGCTTATCATCTCCTTTTTAAACCTTGTGGGTTGTTTTGTAAGCTGAACTCCAGGACCCACTGCTCACAGCACTCCTGGATAATCATTTCGTCTAGATGCATCCCAGCTTCCCATTTACATCCTAACAGGATCAGATCTCCATGGCAGGTTTGATTCTGGGTCATTAAATGTTCGGGAGCTGGGGAACTGTTTCCCTAACCACTTCTCTGTTAATTATAGAATCATAGCAGCCTATTCTGTGCTATCTTTATGAGGGTGGAGAGCTTGATCTCTCCACTATGCTTTTTAGATGAGAAACACACCAGGCATTTTAGAAAGCAAGCATTGAAATACCATTTTCTACCTAATTATTTAATTACTGATACAATAAATACAGTGTGATATGCCTTTATGCTTTGTGCAGCTTTTACAAACATATTATCCCAATGTTAAAAGCTACATTCTTTATTATTTAACTTGTATTTTGTGTATTTATAATCTGTGACTATATTTTCAACTTTGCATATATTTTATCCAGAATTTAGCAACATCTCAAAGGGCGAGGCAGAACATCTGCTGTGGAATTTCTTTCAACTGGAATAATGTGATAGTTTTCAAGAATTTATGTTTTTGCAGCACAAATTCCTCTGTGTGATCACTATTAAGGTGATAAAGTAAGCAGAGAACACTGAACTAATATACAGTCGCACGCAAAAGTTAGAACACCCCTGGTCATATTCCATGTTTTGTTGATTTTCTAAGTCAAAATAAATTATACATCCCAAAAGAAAACAAATGTAAATATGATATTTTTTCTGCTATTTTAGTGCACAATTTGTTTATTTGCTGAGTTTCACGTATTGGAAAAAATAGAATATAAAAGGCTTAAAACTAAAAGGTTACTGTTTATGTTTTATTTTTTCCCAATATGTTAAATTCAGCAAATAAACAGTAATTGTGCAGTAAAGTGAGCAGAAGTGTGTTCTTTGTAGAGGATGTGTACTTATTTTAACTCGGATAATCAACAAAACATCTTATTTAACTAGGGATGCCTAAATTTTTGCAGTGGGGGTCAAAAACAATACTAAATTGCATTTTAGCTCCTGTAGTTTACAGGATGTAGTGCCAATTGTGGAATGTACTTAAGTTAAAATACTTCATGTAGTTTGACTATTTTTCAGTGGTAGTACATTTGAGTAAAATTGGGTTTATATTTTGTCCCTCTATTTCTTAGATTAATCTGCTGCCACAGTTGCATTTATATGGATCCATATAAAAGCCTGCATATCTTCCTCGTATCATAAACTCAAGTAGGCTCACTGCTTGGTGTTGCTAAATCCCATGCTATTAGTGCAGGTGGTTATGTAGCACACAGTGCATATCTAGTCCATGATGGGGTAGACAAACCCCTACTGACCTAAATGTACCTTTGAATAGAGGTGAATAGGAACAAGCTGTGGATTTAAAAATGATCTGTACCCAGAAAGAGCATAATTGTACACAATCCTCATCGGACACCAAAAAGAAGGACGGTTTAACATAATGTACAATAAAATAATAAAATCAATACTACACATGATGATCTCTGTGTGTTTACTTATCATAGAGGCTTATTTGCAGTTAGAACTGGAGTTGAATTCCAGCCACAGAGCACTGTGATCCTAATCTGGAGCTGTGAAGTTGCTCAGACCTATAACAAGCTAGAACAGCTGTACGTGTGAGATATTGTCACTGTCCAAAAAAAACTTGTGTCTGAAATGGTCCACTAATCACTATACCCTACATTTGAAAATCAGGATCACTATGTAGAGCACTGATATTAATTAGTGATGGTAGTAAATGATTTTAGACACTACATCGTATGGGCCTGCTCATTACTCTGCGACAGCAGATTCAGATGCATAAACACTAAAAATGTCATTCCACAGTTCATTATAACCACTGAGTCTGACCGCACACATCAGAAGAGCTTACTCATGTCTGTAGCAGGTGTAAAGAAAGGTCTGTGGAGATGCTGCCATTGTAGCTGGGCTTGGTAATCCTCTTCAGAGAAGAATCTTAAGCATTATGGGAATCCTCTATCTGCTAGGGCAGGGTTTCTCAACCTGTGGGCCACAGGCCACCAGTGGGCCATGAAAGACTCTCTAGTCGTCCATGGGCCAGTACAAAGGGGGAGGCAGTAACTCGTAGTGGGCCGGTAGAGACGTTGGTTGTACACGACTTATTCAATGCACATGTTTTCAGGCACCATTACAAAATGGAGGAACCCTAAAATAGTGCACTATATAGTGAATAGGGAACAGTTTCAGACACAGCTTTAGTTTTTTCCATTTTAATTTTTCTATTCTTCTACTTTTCTCTATCATTCGAGCTCAGCAACCTTTACATTGTATGAATGTTTTATGGTAAATAGACAAACAAAAATCCTAATTTGCTTGCAGTAAAATCTCTTTAAATTAACTTCCTTAAGTTCTGAAGGGTTTTTCCTTATCCTGTAAAGTTACTATTTTGGTGATACTTGTTTTCTTTGGACATTGACAATATTCCAGTATGTCATATAATCAGAAATCTGCGCATGTACTAATATAGTAAAGAAACGTTTAGTGAAGAAACGTTTAATTTAGAAGCAGTCTTTGTGGATGCTGAATTCACTAATTAGAAGTGGTGTCTGGATACTTTTGGACATAAAGTGTACATTACTTGGCATACAAATTGTTTATAGCGATTACTACTAATAATAATAAATAAAATTTTATATTGAACAATGGTATTTTTCTATCAATCTGTATTGTATTTTGTATAAATGCAATAAGCCACTGGAAGCTGTGCATTACAGTAATTTTCCCTCCTGTGCTCTAATTGGATAGTTAAATCCAGCTCCCCAAATAGTTGCATGAATTCTGTACTCTGTTTGGCTAACTGGCTCCTAATCTGACTGACAGGCACTGGTGTTCTGGTTGGCTAGCTGAATCTTTGAATCTGAGTAGCTGGTTAAATCCCAGAATCCTGTGGTCCAATTAGCCAGTTGAATATTGCTCTTGTATTGGGTAGTTGAATGCTGGAATATGATGGGCATAAAGCCACAACCATGGTCTTGTGAGGTGAAAGCGCTAACAATTACACTACTCTACTCTACCCATCACTACAGAATGAAAACTGCTTTTATAGGCTACTTGTTTCTAATGTAAATTGGATTAGAATTATTTAGCTCTATATTTATGTGATGAACTCAGTGTGAATGACAATAAAAAGATCTTTTATACAGAAGATTGTTTTATTTCAGTAAAGAATCATTTCATTGTACTGTTAATTTGTTCATTAAGAATTAATTTCACATTTCAAAAAAAAAAGAGAAAAATTAATTGTAGAACCAGATATTATGACACAAGTCATCATCAGACAGAATCAGAATTCTTCTGTCTCTAGTGGCAGATGATTCTGCTGCTAGCTCTTGCCAAATGACACGACTGCCATGGAAGGTGGCATTGCACATCTAGCCCAGAGACTTTTATTGGTACAAAAGTATTTTTTCTTTCTGGACAATAAACCTTTGACCTGTGTGCAGGGCAATGTTTTCCAACAGCAAATATTACAATCGCCTGTGAATCTTTGAGCTGTCATTAAGCTCACACCGACACCGCTGGTCAGACATTGACTGTTTACATCAACATATGCTTTTAAGTGCAAATGCTTCTAAAGTGTTTTGCAGACTGCTGGGGCTGCATACAAAAATGCTAAGTAAGGATATTCTGATTCAAAATGATGGAACTGCATTTCCCATGCTGCAGTGTCAAATGCAAGGTTAGAAAAACAAATAGACAATATGTATTCTCCTTAAATATTTACAAAATAGACTCTTTGGGGAATTCAGTCCCTGAAAAGACAGTGATGTTAGGACAGAACTACTCTGACTGACTACTGAAACACAAAGCTAAAGATGATTCTTAAAATCTCTTAGTTTAATGTAGTAAAAGACAATGTGATACTATTATGTATTGTCACACATGAATGACATACAACACTGTGCAAAAGTCACTGCATCTAAGAAAATATGTAAAGCTGTTCATCTGTGCAGTAAGCATTTATTTGTTCAAAAACACAAACATTAGAATAAATACAGACAAATAATTTAAAAAAACACTGGGATTTGATATGTGTGAGTCTGTTAGGTTGACCGTTTGCAGACCTCTCCTTGGGGAAGTCCAGTATTTAGTTACAGTCCAATACCTACTTCAGCTGATGAACTCTTCATTGAATAATTAAACAAAAACTAAATTCATTAAAACAAGTAAACAAAAAACTGTGTTGATGCTTATTTGTATTTATTATAATGTTATATAGCAATTTTGCGGTCTAAGACCTTTGCACAGTACTGTATATGTCCTATTTGTAAATTAACTGCAAGAAGTACCAAAGACATTCACATTTCTAGATCTGGGATTAATTGCAAAACTCAATTATAGCAAGAAATTGAAAGATAATTTAACATTTTTGCCTCAAGTCTAATTTATTAACATTTTTAAAAAATGATACTTTGTGAAGGAGGGCACAAAATGAAGGTGCTTATATACAGGCACGCACACTGCCTTAGACAATCAAGGCTTATATTAAATAAACTGAGAAGCAGAAACAGCAGAAATCTGAAAAAAAAACACATGAAAAAGGTGATGTTATGTAGATAATACACTTATCAGTTAAAAAAATAATAATCAAAAATAAATAAACAAATAATCCCAAAAACAAATAGGTACAATAGGTTCTTAAACTGAAACTCAAGGCCTTTACTTCTCATTATTCATGTTGGATTAATATTCATCCAACAGCTGTCCATTTAATATTTTATATGTAAATTCTATATTTGTTTCTGTTTGTACCAAGACACATTCAAAAGTAAAGGTAACACTTACATAAACAAAGACTGTAGGATCACCACATGAACAGCACTGACAGAAATGATTATTAAGCAACATAATCAAGCCCTACGCAAAAACGAAGTACAAAATCACAGTAGAACAATAAGATGGAGAAACAAGGCCAGTTACAAATGTTTTGTAAATCCTTATGTATGTTTTCCAGTACAGGTGTTGCAAACTATAAATTATCGTCCTATTGCAGTAAAAGAAATGATCTATATGTAATGATGGGATGAGTTGGCTTCAATTCATGTCTTGCAAAATGCCAAACTGCCATATGACCACTTAGCAGCATGTTTAAGGAAGATTATGTTTTGCCATCATTATGACAATGCTGCTAGTTATGCTCACTAAACTGACAGTACAACTCAAAAATGCACTGTCTTTACCAGATAAGATGCCCTATAGGGCCCTATAAGCTTTAAGCTTGAACTATAACTTGTACTTCAAAACTCTGTATTGCCCAAATGATTGCAGACAATTTCTTGTACAATTTGAGAATATGACAACATCTGTTGATGACTAGACACAGCCAATGGCTGTGCCATCTAACCCTGTATTACCCACTGTGTCCTCCTTTGACTCCTCGGAGGCAGGGCTCTGGAGGGTGAGCTGCAGCTTGGCCCAAACTTGAGGGTCTCTGCTGCTCATTGCCTCCAGGAAGAGGTCTGTATGAGCCTGCAACTTCTGAAGCTGAGCCTGGGAGCGCTTGTTCTGACGAATTAGCTCCTTTGTACGCATTGTGATCCCCAGTAACCCTGACTGATTCAGAATGTTATAAGTGTTGCAGAAGCGCTTGCGTTTACTGGAGCTTGGAGAGAGGGACACGTCGTCATCACTGGAAGCATATGCTGTTTTTGGACACGCGTCAGAAAGTGGAGAACGAGGACTGTGAGAGAACGGAGTTGTCGTGGCATTGGTCTCTTTAAGGTCAGGAAACTTTGTTGAAGAATCCATATTTTCAGAACTATGACTGTACATACAGGGATCACCAGAATGACTTCCAACAGTGTTAGATTCAGAGAGGCTCTTCTTCAAAGAAAGCGCTCGAGACTGCTTATCATTATGGCGACGTCTTCCTGAATGGCTGTGGCCTGAATTGCTCTTGCGGATGGAGCTTTGTCTGAGGTCTCCTGCAGCTCCATTGACTGGGTGGGGAGCAATTTTCAGAAACGAGTTTAGGATAGGAATGTAATTTTTGGATTGTCTTTGCTGGCTGGCAGGAGTTTGAGAAGTGCAGTTGCTGCTGGGTACTACTGGCTGGAGAAGAACCACTGGGGACCTAGGAACCACTTCTAGTGATGGGTTGAAACCCCATGGTTTTAGCGCTGGGGTCACAGGACTGGGCTGGAAAAAAAAAGCACAACCACCTGTCACCAACTTCATGAAACTAAATCAATGTATTTTTACCCTTCATATTACCAGAGACATATGATGACTAGATCCATTGCTTGTAAAGAAAATACTGTTAACAATCATTATAAAGTAGTAAATGCCATAGCTGTGTTTGTGGAGCTCAGCAGAAGTATGGATGCTGAATAAATTAAGAAAACTACTGTGTTGCTATCTTTAATTGAACAGAAGCAAACACTATTTTGGTATTGGGTCCAATGTGCCATTTCTTTTCCAAGCAGAGAGGCTTGGGTGATCCATTGTTCCACCTCTATTTTACAAAAAAAAACACAACACTGAACCTGAAATGGGCCATTTATCCAATATATCACTAGGTCGTCTGCTTCTATTACAGTTTTTCAAAGTTTAAACAGCTTTTTTTCTACTCTGCAATAACACCCCACCAGCAAGTACATCAGAATGATATGAAGTACTATACCTGCTTGACAATGAAACTGTTCATTTTGACCACAGGAGAGACGTCTTGGTAGGATCCAGGCACTACAGGTGCCTGTGGACCTGACTGCATGTTTTCTGTGGCAGAACTTCTGGACCTAATGTCTTCAAACTCCACAGCACTGAAATATCCAGAACTGGCATCTAAATGAAAGAGCTGAAGGTGAAACCAAGACCACAGTTTCAAAGCAAAACTGTATTGTTATTTTGGTGAAAATAGGCCTTAGGTTATAGGCTAAAGTTGACCAGTAAATGTGTCCTATTTGTGGAGTATTGTTTGGACTATTTCCCAAACAATAACTACAACAATATTCTCTTGCATCAGTCATATTCATATTTGCTGTGGTGTACATTTACACATATCTGAAATAGACTGTCTGAAAACAATAAAAGAGAATCCAATTTGTAGGGGAACAAAAGACAACGACCCTCAGCACTGAAAGAGAACCGAACTGTTCTCCCTGTGTAAAACAAAGATAAAGCAAGCATGAAACAACGGCCGTTTACAAACCTGAGAAACCCGAGTCTCTCTCCAGCTCCGTTTTGGATCTTTTTGTTTTGTTTGCCATCGTGGCACAAAATCTTCTGTGAACCTCCAGTTTGTCTATTTTCACTCTGCTCAGTTAAACTGCAGGGAAGGCGAAGTCCATCCGTAGGCCCACAGCTGTTAGTCTGAATCACTAGAATGAATGAAAAACAGAGCCAATGTCTTCAGATGTGTATCAACACAGAGACAGAGGTTTTGTATTATCAGAAAACGCTAAGCTAACGTTGCTTCCAAACAACAGCTGGCTAGCTCGGTTTGTTTGTAACGTTAGCTTCCTGCAGTGAAACCACCAAAGCTAAGCTGCCTTTCGTCGCTGAACTGTTCATAACGTAAAACATTAACGACGTGTGCGTAAGTACGGCAGCAATGAAATGACTTGCATTCTCGTTTCGCCTGGTAACGTTAGTTTTGTACATGAATCCGAACTCGCCTTCTTATTCACCAACTTCTTGTTCGAATTTTTCCCGTTCCACCTTAAATGGTGCGCCTGAAGCGCCAGAATGTAAATGCTGCACCATTTAAGGTGGAACGGGAAAAACATTTGAACAAGAACCTGCCGAACAGCACGACAACTTCAACCTCGTGATCTGAGATTTCTACTGACATTACAGCCTTTACTTACAGGTAATTTAACAAACGAGAACATGTATGAAGCTAAAAACAGTGGGTTTAAGCTAACGTTAGATCAGACCATTAAAATAGCGTTAACGACAGCTTTTCAGAAAGACGAAAACGTGATGCATCTAAACAATCGTGCAGTTAAATTAATCAAACGTTTATTCAAAGTGTAACACATTAACGACAAGTTTACTAACTGCGTAAAGAAGTGGGCTTGAAGCAGCAGCAGCATCATCATCAGCAGCAGCAGGAGGAGGATCAGCAGGACTGTGGCGGAGTTACACGATGCCAGACACGAGACCTCGCACAGGCTCGAACACGAGACAAGAGTAAACGAACTAGCTAACTGAAGTGAACGCGTGCGATTACTTACATAAAGGATCCTCTGCTGTCTCTGGGTGGCCCCTCTGAAAACACCGAGCGCTACAGTACACTGACAGATCCGATTTTTGTTTTTGCTGTGCTCTTCGACCTGTGTCCCAGCCGTGACTTTGCGACGCTACTTCCTTCTTTACGATTTGCATTGGTTGTCGTTACCGGGGAAACAGCCCACACGCCATCTCATTAACGATGCAAAGCTCCGCCCCTCCTGTCCACGGCGCCTCCTCATTGGTGGGAAATGCTGGCCGTGCGACTGGGAACGTGACTCATAAATCCAGCAGCACAGCATCTAGAGGCGAAAACGGGGCACTGAAATAAACACCAGAGGCCGGATTCATAACAATGCTCTTGAGAACAAATATTCTCAAATATAAAATTCCCAGATATTCTTTTCAAAAAGTTTTAAGGAAATATGAAAATGTTAATTGTGTTCGTATGTAGTTTAAGACGTTTACTCGTGAATTCTTACAGACTGTCGTGTGGTTAAGAAGATATTTAAGATTTTTTTTCAATAGAAAAGTTGCCAGTTGCTCATGTAGTTGTTCTTAAGAGAAACGTTAAGAATAATATTTTTTGAAGAATAATAATTTATCTCAACTTTTTTCATAACTGTGTAGTTCAGAAAAAAAAGCAAGTTTAAGAAGTTTTTTTTTCTTAAGACACTTTTTTTAATCCGGCCCCAGAGTCAGTAACTATAGATCTGAAGGGTGCCTGCTCCATTTTTTATGTCTCTTCCTGGAGAGTCTCTCAGGCACGGCCTGATTACAGAACTGTTTTGGAGATGGCCCTTTTGCTATGGCCTTATTAAACACAGACCATTACACAAGCAAATGGTGGAATAAAAGGTGGCGACCTAGGGCATCATAATGTGGGGCAGCTGAGAGCTTTAATGTGTTTATTTGTCTCTCTTACAAGATTTTTAGCAGTGTAAAATAATGATCAGTATCAAATTCAGAGCTCACCAACTCAAGTGCATTGTAAGGAGAATTTCAGTGTTAAAGTTATACTAGTTATAAAACCTAATTGCAACATTGTAAGTACAGTAGGGATCAAAAGTCTAAGATCACTAGTAAAAGTGTTTCTATTTTACATTTATTTCTAATTTTTTCAGAATTTCTTTTCTGTTTTTGTTGCCTTTTTGATTTAATGATGGCGTTTGATAACCAACAGTGTCAAAAGCCTCTTAATAGTAGATCAAATCCACCTGAGAGTTGCCTGAACTTGAGATTCAATGGAAGGAACAAAACTCAAAAAAAAAAACTGACCTTTTTTACAAAGGCCCTCACATGAAAATGTCACAAATTTGTTTAAATTTGCGTAGAAACACTACAGAATCCTGAACATTTCTTCTTCTTTTGTCATAACTTTTCTCATTTTATTTTTGATCCCAGGTTTTTTTTTTTAATGCAGACTTTTGGACCCCACTGTATTCTTTCTTATTTTCTTTCTTTCTTTCTTTCTTTCTTTCTTTAAATATCAGCCATTTTTAAGTTACCCTATTTTATAAGCTGTAGTAGGTAAAGAAACACTGTTTCTAAATTATCCTGTATTTATTTTGGGAATGTTTTTGTATGTATGTCCTTTTACAAGGTCCCTCTTGTGAAAGGTCAAAAATGTAATAGTAGATAATGTAGCGACCCGCTACTGGCTGCCACTGCCGCTTAGAAGCTCGGGAGCCATAATGGTGTCAGAAGTGGGATAGCACCACCAGTGGTCTGGAGTAGAACAGCGCTACAAAGAACTTCAAGGCAGGTGGCAAGAGAGGCAGATCCTAGAGAAAGTCCATGATGACGGGGACAGTGCGGCGAGGCTCCACGGGGAAGATGCCCTGGTGAGACTTGATGGCTGAGGTGGCACGGGAAGGCTTGATGACAAAGCCAGAGCAGGAAGGCCTGATGATGGGACCGCTTGGGAAGGCCTGACAACTGGGCCTGAGGCTTGAGGCCGGAGGTGGCAGGGCAAGGCATGACAGCAGTGCCAGTGAGAGGAAGGCTAGTGAAAGCAAAACTGTCGAAAGCTTCAGAATGGAAGTGAGCAGTGGAGCAGTTTTTGAGCCGGTGTTGCGGAGAGAGGGAACACCGCCCGTGTGGAGCTGCAGCCGCGCGTGGTCGACCTTTTGAAGGGAAGTAGTGGCCTGCTACTGGCTGCCACTGACTCTGAGAAGTTTGGGAGCCATGGCCATGTAAGCAGCCATGCATGGAGGCTCATAGTAGGCACACAGCCTCCTACAAAAGGGACACTAATATTGTTCAAATGTCTTTATTTGTTAGTATAAAGATGTGTTGAGTAATTTGTGGCTTATTGTGTCTGGGGTTGTGGGTATTTTGTGATGGGTGTTGGTTACTGTGAAGGTGAAGCCTATGGCTAGTGGTTACCCCTTCGCGAGTTCAGTGCTTTGTATGTGCCTTTCTGCCCTGGTGTTCAATAAAAAGCACTGCTCATGGTGGAGGCCAGCTTTGAGTACGACACAGGCCTTCCCTGTGTCTTACTCCACATCAACACCAAAATATTTATTTCTAAATACTCATATTTCAAGATAAAGCTTAATAACCAGTAATCTGGACATTTGGACTCAGTGTAGTAAATTATGCTTTGATTTGTATAATAGACTTATGTTTTGTAAAATGCAATCACTTAAGATTTTTGTTTATTTTGTTAAAAGTATAATCTTATATGTAATTTGGAGTGACAGTAGGCGATGTTCCATGAATTGGGGGATAATATAGTTTTTAGAGATTTCACTGGATTTCGCTGTCCAGTACAGATGACACTGGAATTAGGCACATAAAATCTGCAAGATTTTGAAAAATGAAAATACTTATTATCATCAGGACATTCTTAACTTTTTATGGAAGGTAATGTAACCAAATTCATTTCCAGATCATGTCAGATCTCTCCTGTTGGCCTGATCAACAAAAAATGTTAATACAGTATAAAGGCCTACTGCTGTTTTCAAATGGTAAAAAAAATAATAATGAAAAAATGGAGATTCAAGGTTTTGTCGTAACAGCAACAAAATACTCAGGAGCCACTGGAAGTTCATCTTCCATCCTTTACTAATATATCTTAAGAGTAACTCAGTCAGTTTCATTTGTTTTCCATGTAATTACTGAATAATAAGTCGTAGGATGTACTAAGTTATATTTCATCACTGTCCAAAAGAAACAAAACAAAACAAAGTATCTCCATTTTTTCTACATTATTTGAAAACAGCAAGTGCCTTTTACTTCATGTTAAGATTCCATGGTGATTGGACCAATAGAAATGCTCCAATTCTATCTCTTTACATCCCTCTATCGCTTTATGATTTTACAACTTACATTAAAAGTAAAGAACATTACCTTCTCCTGTAAAGTCACTACTCTGGAGATATTTTTTACATTTCATTTATCCATTGAAAATCAAATGGTTTTTAATAAAAAAAAACAAGATGTTAATAATACAAATGTTTTCATTTTAAAGAAGAAAACTTAAAATAAGATCACACTGCATTCAATTTGTCTGAAGTTGTTGGGCACAAATTCTTGGCTTTCATTAATTTGATGGATTTCCTGAGCTTAATACTGTCTAAAATGACCTAATTATTGGTCCCACAGTGCTAAATGCTGGCAGAACAAACTGCTTTGGCACAAATTACACTGAAAGGTTCGTTAAATCATGCTATTTATATTTTTCCCTTATGATTACATCACATGAGCACAGCATTTCAACCATATACAGTAAAGTATGTATCATCATCACTTTGTACATAAGTTGTTTGTTATGTTATTACTGCAGCCTAAAAACTAGTTATGACTAAAAGTCATGTGTGTCTTCCATCTCAGAAGCCATAAGCTGCACCTCCTCGTTGTGTTTTTTGTACTACACTGCAATCCTACATTTGTTGTAACCCAAATAAAGTCAGTTGTACATAAAACTGAAAACATCCCACAAATTACTCAACTATTTCAAGTTGAGGGAATGTTTTTGATAATTTTGTACACTCAAATGCCATTTTTAATTTGAATCAACTTATTGCAATTTGTAGTCTGTTGCCATGGCAACTTTGAAACCGAATGTTCAAAAAATGAAACTGCACTGCTGTTGATTTTAAAAGTTTGTCTCTCATTAAAGTTACTCATCGAATGTGTATAACTGAGTAAAACTAAGTAAAGTATGTTGTTTAAGTGAAATACAGCGAAATGTTTGTTTTGTTAACACAAACTTGTTGGATAAAACTTACTTCTTTCTCATTGGCTCCTGGCTCCAACTATTTGCATATTGGGTATTTCTTTCCATTTGTTTTACTCACCATCAATGTGCTTTCATTCCACCCAGCCTACCTTTTCCTTCTGCAATCACACTAAGATGCCTTATGCGTAGAATGGATTATGAAAGTTGGGATATTTGAAGCCAAAATCAGCTTATCTCAATAAATGCATTCTTAATCAGCAAATCTCTCAAACTTTCACTTGGAGATGTTTAATGAACAGCTAACGTGCAGCACAGCAGAGCAGCTGTTGAACGCATCTCACTGTCTGACACCACACAGTTCTGTACTTCACCTATTACACTAATGAGTGCACTACTAATGGTATATGTGCTATTTTTGCACACTTAGTGTGTTAGTATGCGGTTTGTGACATGATACTTGTAACACAGCGGGAAATCTCAGCCATTTAGATTTCAGCTTTCGTTTATTCTTATTCATCCACAACAGCAAATCAAATAAAATCAAATACAATACACTTAAATGTATCCGTGAATATGCTTCAAAAATAAGATTTTAAAAAGTGATCCAAAAAATAACGTTTTACTGCCTTTGCTGGGTCGGTTATGGCTTTATCTTATTACAAACTGCCACAGCACTGCTGAATAAAGTTGATGTTGCCTACAAAAATGGTGGCAGCGCGACTGTGACGCCATCATAATTCTATTAAGTAACTAAAAGGGTGAGTTGTTTCTCTTTGCTGCTGAGCGCGGGTCTGTGTTTGCATTCACACTACGGATTAACCTCTCAGTGTTTAGCAAAGTGGTCAGTATCATTTAATCAGAAGTTTCTTGATTGCCTGTTGAAATGTATAATTAAACTGGGAGTTTAGGTTTGACTAAAAAAGTTAAAATAATATAATTAGAAATTACAAGTTGCACAAACGTGTTCACTTTAATCTAACACATGAATTTTACTTATTCTAACATGCAGTGTTTAGTATCTCAAATATATTGAGCTAAAATTGCTGGTTTGCTCACCAGTGCTTAACCTAATTTTTTAGGGCAACAGGTTACCTCAATTTTTTAAGTTATGTGAACTTATTTGGGCTTGTAGTGCAGAAGTACATGAAGGAAAAAAATTGTTACAAAGGAACAGCATTTTAGATAGTGTATCTCTTTATTAATAGTGGCAAAATAGCAATACTATATCAACATCAAATGTATGTACAACATTAATAACTGGAAACAGCTTTAAATTCTTGACCCATGGTTTGGTAATACAACATTTCAACTGAACTGAGCAAAATGCTCTGGTTATATTAATTAAAAAAAGGCAAATGGGCAAAATATATTCTGTTCACACTTAGCAACATAAATGTTGCTGGTTTAAATACAGTATAGACCTTTACTTTGTGTTAATAAAAACCCTTAGAAGTAAGAGGATTTGGAAAATGTTAATTTGGCATAGACTAATGCCCCCAAACTGTTGTTTTCATATTCAAAGGCCATGCACAGTCTTGTTAGCAGCATCTCTGGTTTCTTTGGTTGAGTTTCAACATTTTGCTGATCTGAACCCAAAATGTGGGCTTATCTCTTTAAGGCAATTTAAATAGACAAATATAACTAAAACTGTCATTTATAACACATCAGCTTATGCTGAATGACCCTTGTATTTCTTATTGCAAAATCATTGCCCAAATCAACAAATATACAGTTGTATTGGCACCCCTGGTCAAATTACTTGTTTCTAAGTACAGCGAAGTACACATCCTCTATAGAGAACACACGTTTGCACATTTTAATGCACAATTACAGTTTATATTCTGAATTTAACATATTCAGGGCAGGGAGAGATATAAAATGTAGCCTGTACATAAGTTTTTCTGTAAGAGGTAAATAAATATAAATTGTGCACTAAAATCTGCAGGAAAATGCCATATTTACATTTGTTCCCTGTAGAGGACGTGTCAACTTATTTTCACTTAGACAAACAACAAAACAAGGGGTGTTCAAACTTTTACACAGTTGTACTAAATTCATCAGCTCATGAACTGCCATCATTGTGTACAGCAGTGTAGTTTTACTTTGAGTTTGGAAAATGGAAACACAGTGAATTGTTGTCTTGATACCAGTAGAGGTCAGCATGTCCCCTGACAATGGGGCTAGACATATCTGAACTGTATCAGACCTCTAACACAGTCCTTTATGTTCCTGTGGACTTAATAAAGGATATTTTGGATTATGCTTGTTTTCACTCAGTTGACAACCAATCTAGAAACTGGACAAGTTAATTTATGAAATAGCTATGGTTATGGGAGAGTTACAACCTAGGTGGTAAGTAAAACTGAAAGAAGAATTATCTGCAACGGTAATTACATGCACTCTGAGAACTCTTTAATACTGCATAGAAAACAGCTAATCGAGTCACTGAATGAGCATCACAAAAGAGTAACTTTGGTTTTCTGGTATAACCAACTGTTTTAGGTGGTTCTGATTGGCTGTTCCTTAATGCTTAAAAAGAAAAAAAAATCCCAATTTGTACTAATGACATATGTTAGCAAAGTCAAAAACAACCAAAACAAGTTTTTTCTACTGGTTTGCAAGCAATAAATAAAAGGGGTAAGATACCATAGATATAGTATAATAATAATAATAATAATAATAATAATAATAATAATAATAATAATAATGTTTCAGCTATAACATCATCAAATGTGTAGTCCTGTGGGCTGATTTTCACCTCAGACACTGAGGTGGGCCCACTGTTGTGCTTCATGCGAAGCATGTCAGAGCGTGTCACCACACACCAGGCACTTCCTGTATATGAAATGTCCCCCAGGGTGACTAGGGTGATCTCCCCATCACCATGACAACCCCGCACCTTGGATGTGGTGGTGGAGGAGACACAGCAGGCTGTGAAGAGCGAGGGGGCGACAGATGGTGGGGCTGGCACTGAAAGGGCTGACTGCACAGGACGGGCAGAGAGCATGGTGGGACTGCATTTACCTTCGAGGAGGCTGACACCTGAGAGAGAACAAGCTTATATTTCAGTATTTAGCTCATTATCAGGAAGCAGTAAACCCTCTCCCTCTTTCTATGTTACTTATACAGCATAGCCAAGTAACAAGAGTGCCTAAAACCCCTCTTAACTACAGTACATTCACTGTAAAACATGGCTGCAAGTGGCTTATTGCTTTAATATAGGCTAAAACATAAACTTTCTGGCACCTACTGGTTATGAATTCCACCAAAAGCAAAGTGAGTGCAAGTGTTGCAACTGAACTCAAAGATGGGTTTAACTGTAAGTAGTATGTAAAAAAAAATACCTAACACTGTCTATATGTAAAATACCAAACGATGTGTTTGTGCTTTTAGGTTTGTTTTTGTTTGTTTCTTGGTCATTTATTTAATTTAGCATTTTTTCCTTTGAGGAAAAGTACAACAGTGGCAAATTCCTTTTCTATTGTTTATTATTAGCCTTATATAGGGTGTCATGTAGCCTTATGAACAGTACCCTACAGTAAAGTGTTACCCAGTTTATTTTGTGTGTAAACATCCACAGCGCATAGTCCTTCTGCCCATGATCATTAAAGTCCTTACCCATCACAGTCCTTTACTCGCTGTTTCTCCTTCCTCTTCCTTCCTCTTCCCCTCGGTCTCCGCCTAAATCATAAACAAGAAGAAAAAAATCCTGAATCTCAAGTCACTATGTCTGTGTTTAGTGGCAGACTTGCTTACAGAGTCTTGCTCAGTAGGTTACCTGTCATGTTTTGGTGTAGGCTTTCTTAGTCTGAACAACACACCACGTTAGAATCCCGAAGAGAGAAAGAGAGAAAAAAGAGAGACAGAAACACACTTTTAGATATTTTTCTCATGTTTAATTCTGCCAAGCTTTTTTTGGTCCAGCTATTTAAAATTTATATCACTGTGCAGAGTTACGATTAGTGAACACAGTTATGATGAGCAAAGAAAACAAACCATGCTGAGTGGTGATTTTCCCCTTACCTACATTCACAGCTTTTATGCTCCACGAAAGTCATCTCCACATACTCTTGGCTCTTCTCTGCTGGCTTCAGCTTTAATAACTGCATAAACAGATGCACAACCATTATTTCTGTCTTGTGCTTTAAGACTTCTCAATAAACAACTGATCCAGTTACAGAACTGAGCTCCATTACTGAAGGTCCACAATGCTTTGTGGCTAAGTATTAAGTCCTTTATGATGAGATCAGTCAAAATTGTCAGAACTAGGGCTAAAGGATAGGGACAAAATCCTAGCAGTGCAATTATATTGATTAATATTGTAACTGTGATATGTCTTGCAATATACTTAAAACCAAAGAACTGCTGTAAATTTACAGTGGAAATGCCGTAGTAATCTACTGTATTTTTAAATACAAATGATTGCTGTAAAGAATGATGCATTTTGGGAGACACAGTTTAATCTTCTTTCCAAGAAGTTAGCTGTCATTTGCAAAGCGTACTGGGAAAGTGACTTTTAAAATGAGAGAGATGTTTTTCTGTTAATTAGTTTTTATTTCTTCATTTACAGTTGCTTTCACATGTTATTTCACATGTTATTGCTACACTGAAGATACATTTAAATGCATTTTACATGTGTTTTATTCTAATCCTGATGGTGTTTTGTATGTCAGTTCATTAATTCATCCATTACTGTTCTATTAAAACAGATGCTGGGTTACTGTCAGTGATCTTAAAGACTGGCAGTGTATGCAACCGCTATGAAGTCTTGTGTAAAGCCGTGCTTGGTAAACAGTTTAACACTGTTGTAATTAATACATAGTCATACTATTGGCTTTAACTAGCTATATTTAGCTGATATTCAATTATATGTAATAATTCCCCAAAACTTGTGTCAGCAGTGAGGTATCTACAGTACACTACAGTATTATTACTACAATAGTGCTGTATATAAACAACAATGTACTGTAAAACAGTACAATTAGGTTCGAAAATGAAAAAAATACAGTAATAACCTGTATTTTTGGATTATAGCAATGCGCTATAATTGTAAACTGCACTAAATAAACAGCACTCTACTGGAGGAACTGCTGCCAGTCGATTACTGTAGTTTTACAGTGTACAGGTGAATCAATAATGTGACTTGGTTAAAGATTGGCCTGAGTTGACCCAAATATTTTACTATTTTATACTTACGAATTTTATACCCACAGAAACATCTGTAACTGTGATCAGTGAAGATGCTCATGCCATTGTTAACAGGCATCATTTGCATAATGCAGGCAGCCTTCTGTGATTTTAGCATTGCAAAGACCAATATCACAATAACAATTAAGAATGCTATATTATGTAGCCTTACTCGACACAGGGAAAACTCCTTATTAATGATACAGACCAGTGGTTCTCGGGCCTAATCCTAGGCATCCCATGCTTTTTATGGTTTCTCTGCTCCATTTCTTTATGTAAAGCATAGTGCAGAATTAGGAACCACTGATTTAGACAAATAACAAAACAACAATATCTCTAAAAGGTCTTCATTTAAAGAGAATCCCTTGCTGGTCATCTGCAAACTCAATAGCTATAAAACAGTCCTTTATGGCCTTGAACAACAAACAGCCATAAATGCTATGAGAAGAGTTCCACAGCCCTGTCAATGGCTACAAATACAAAATTACTGATTGAGATAGCAAAATTACTAAGTGACATTTTGAACAATATAAAACACCCCATGAGCATGACCTGCTTTGATCTACAGAGCGTGTTTAACTTGCAGACATTGCAGATCCCAGATGTCTGCAATTACTGTGAGATCAGCCTGTCAGCAGCTTCTCATTTCATACTTGCTATCCTGTTTAGAAATTCCCCATTCCTCTGTGGATTATGCAAGATTTTCTTGTCACTCGTCAGTCCTCTACTGTAATAGTTTGTTGCATTCAGAATATAGACTTAGACTCATTATATCAACATATGATATCTCCATTATATTAGGCCTACCAGCACCACTGTGTCTATATTTGCAGCTTGTTTAGCTGAAGTTTGGATAGACCTACACCTCACTGGCATCATTGTGCTAGGACATACTTGCATAGTGATGTTGGAGGTAAGTGTGGGATGGCACTCCAAGTTCTCGTCTCCACAGCAACCAGCACAACGCACCAATGGAACGCAAGAAGGGCTGTAAATGTGCTCCACCTCGCCAGGATACTCCTGCACTACCTCCACCAGCTTCTCAATGGTGTGGCAGAAGCTCCGCCCCCACACCTCCTGAAACAGGATTACTGCAATGAGGAAAAACAAAGAGATGATTACTGAGATGCTAACAATAATACATACATGTTATTGCAACACATGAAATTAGCATGCTAACTAGCTACTTGTCTAAGCTGCACGTGATTGCTGAGGTGCTGAAACATGCATGTAGAGCCTGGACCACATGATGGGATTAGCAGAGCAGTATCACACACTCTCTACACTCCATGCACAATTGCCCAATAACTGTGTGCCTCATTAGCTTGGTCTCAAATGTGCTGTCATGGTGCCTCAGTCACACAAATATTTATCAGCCTTCTCTCTCAAGAAACTTCCTTGTTTCTTGTGCCCTGGACTAAATGCAGGAGGAAGTTCCTGAGGACAGGAATGATTCCTCTTTGAGTTATCTCATGTAGAATGTGTCATTTCTGCTAAAATTCAGGTCAGATTCACTATTAGATTCACTATGTTCACACATGCTGTATACACAACATTCACTCATGACAGCTCCAATATTTGAGTCCTGCCACAACTTTGCAAATACACACCCTGTCTATGTATAGTCGTAAAAGTTTGGGCATCCATTGGCCAAATTACAAATATAATTTGATAAATTACAAATTTATAAGTGAAAATAGAAGAACACGCATTTGTCTGCACATTTTAATGCACAATTACTGTCTATTTGCTAAATTTAACACAACACACTACTGTGTAAAAGTTCTGACACATTTTATATTTTGATTGTTTACTTCATCCTATTTGTTAAGCTTGAGAAATAAACAGAAATTGGGCACTAAAATTTTGCAGAAAAATTACATATTCAAGTTTGTTCGCTGTAGAGGACTTGTTAACATATTTTTACTTAGAAAATCAACAAAACACATAATTGTAGGCCTTTACTCATGTAGTGTTATTTAAGGACATCTTTGGCTTTAAACACATCACTAAAGGTCTGACATGGAATTCCAATAAGTGCAGCATAGAAAAGTGAAAATGCCAGGATGCACAATGATATTGTAGTCACATTTGCTTAAAAAATATCATCAGAGAGATTTCAAACCAATATTTGATGAAAAAAAAGCAGAAACCTTTAGGGTTACTGCACTAAAATATCTGTTCATTTTACTACATTTGTATCCCAACACAAAAAAGTATTAAATTTTTCTGTAAAACAAATCCAGATGAATATAGTATTTTATGTATATATGTATTTTTACATATTATAAAAGTTTATGTAGTGCCATCAAGAACGGTGGAAATTTACATGAAAAAAATCAGATTTCCGCATCAGACCACAATTCCCATATCGAAGCATCCCTAAAAAAGCCATTGTTTTTGTCCTGTTTTTCATATTTTAGACACTGAAGAGATTTTATAAATGGAACATGACGTAGCAGAAATAAAAAGCAAAAGGACAAGTAGGCAACTCAGGGGGAGTTGCTAATGGGCTCAGACGCTCTTCCCACACATAAATGGAGTGTCTGATATCTTTTGCACACAAAGCTGCGCACAACTATCACGATTTTGTCAGGTACATTCTGATTGGCTCTCTGTACATCTGTGCTGCATTTTGTGCAGCGTTTTTTTTTTGTTTTTGTTTTGTTTTCGTTTTGTTTTTCCAGCTAAATTCTAGTCAGCTGCTTACACTGGACATCCGTTGGATTTTCACCTTCACCTCCCCTAACACAACAGCAGGCTGTGATTGGCCGTTCTGCATGCCAGTCAAATGGCCTCTTCCTGACAAAGTAGGTGGTTCTTGGCCACGTAATGCGGTGAAAAACAGCGGCCTCTTTGCCAACAGACAGAAGTGTTGCTAGCCTGTAGTGACTAGTATACTGAAAACAAAGCTCCTGTGCAAGATTATGTGTATGTACAGTGGTATACAGTGCTACATGACTACAACTCTCTGGGAGCAGGTGAAGAAAATGTATGGATGCTTCAAGGAAAAGCTCAGAGTACTCTCACTGCAGGATCCTGTCCTGTGCTCTTTCTTTCTCAATGAAAACTGTACCCCAGCCCAACTCTTTCAATATTTCTGTTACACTCACTTTCTTAAATATGGACATCTCAAATTTATAATCTCACCAATACTTCCTGTCCACATGCACTTTTCACGAAATACTGTGTTCTGGTTGGATGATTAATTAGTGCTTGAACACAGTGTTCCTATATAAATCTAAATGCTAAAGAGAACTCACTGGTGCCATAAGCTTTTCTTCCTTTCTTTACATCTGCTCCACATTACCATTAGAAGAACATGAGAGAGTGAGTGGGAGAAATAGAAGACGGGGTTTCAAAGCTGCTAATCTGTCTGCCACTCCCTACACAATCCATCCAGTAATGAAATCAGACAACACAGGGGTTTCGGTAGCTTTAAGTTGTCCAACCATCCAGTCAGAATGAAGACATAGTGTATGGAGGAAGTCTGAGGTTAAAGAGTTGGATCATTTATCAATACTGGAAACGAAAAAAAAGCCCAGATTAGAAATTGGAGAAATGGGCTGTCTCTGAGTTTACCATGAGAAGGCATGACAAATATACAACTTAATAGCTATTGTCTGAAGACCTCTGAGCTACATTCATTCATGCTAGCTCTACTATATTACACCTACCATGTTTATGCAAATCTTAGTTCTTTGGGTCTATGTAAGCCTTTAACCATGTAGGGTAATCCTGGGATGTTAAAGAGGAGTTTTACCATTTTTAAAAAAAATCTGCATAAGTAAATGTTTAAAATGTAAACAAAGTGATTCAGAGTAGTTTGATATGATATGCAACATTGTAGAGAAACTTACTGAGCAGATCTAAAGTGTTTAATAGCTCTTCACAGAAAGCAGTTCCACTAAATGGTTATGAATACACTGGTTGATGTCTGGTTGATGGCGTTGTTTTGCCATAGTTTTGAGATAAGGTTTTAGCTTACAACATTGTTTTAAAATTAATTCATTGTGGAGAGGCAAATATAGGGCGTTGTGAGGAAAAATAGTCCCCAAAGCAAATATATTATTTTGGACCACTATTTGACCATTATCAACATTACATGTAAATTTCAAAAGACACAGATGTGAGGCAGGAGTGGATTTTGATTTTTTCATTTCTCTTAAAGATGCTAGTGAGAGTTTTGGTTGTCAACCAGGTCTTGTGCAGTTGTTAGGAGTCCTATTTTGGGTCCATGTCTTTTAAGAATCTGTATCTTTTTCACTTTATTTCTTTAGATTTTCTCTTTCTTATGCAAATGGATTATCTTATATCTACATAACTCCTGAAAAATAAATGAATAACTGGTACTTAATGGCTGTTTTGATGAGAAATTAAATAAATGAAGGGGTCTCTGACTTTTGTTCTGTATATCCATACATGTTCCATTACATCTACCACACCACCTTCCCAACAATGAGGCAGCAACTGCAGGAGTTCTTGATTGGGACTTAATGATAATACATGGAAGAAAGTGATTGATTTATGCAGACAAGGTTGAGCAATTTGTGATTTTCACTGTGTAAACATCACACTTTGATATCACATGCACATGAACCCAATCAAAAGTGAAATGATTTGACCAGCACCAGCTTCATGGTTAACAGTAAATGTGTTAAATCTACTGTTTATCTTATCCATTTCTCTGTAGAATACTGACAGTTTTACTCATAAGGCAAATTTTATATGACTGAACTAATATCACATTTGCTATATTTTTAACAAGCCTAGTGCTCGACATGGGTCATATCTTGTAATCTATTTTGATACTCTTACCTTTGGAGGTGCTTTGTGTAGCGGTTGAGGGGGAACACTGCAAAAGACCAAAACAAGCAACTGGTTACATACAACGTTATACTGAGTTAGTTCTAAACATACAGTGAAATGTATCTCATCTTCACAGATATAGTATATAGTATCACAGCTGAGTCATTCATTGCCAACTCACTTACAGCGTGTCCAGTCACGTCATGGAATTCCACTAAAATTCAAGCAAAAGCTTTAATTTAAACAGCCAAGCAAAGGTTTGCACTCCAATTAGTTTTTCTTTATGAATTTTTATTTTTTTCCAAGGAAAAAATGTTCTAAGTCACATCTTCAACACTGCTACAAGGACTTACAGAATGATGGAAGCTGAAATATTAACTGGGTATAAATACAACAATAAGAACAATATTTAAATCATCTAGTTTCATGCTAATAAAGTCTCTCAAGAGGTTTATTATTCATTTTTCATTAATTTATTAGTGGATGTACTCTTTATGTCAAACATCTTTTCATCGTGTAAGTTGTGTTAAATTGTAATTTTTTGCTTGAACGTCTTCAGGCAAATCCATGACTGGACGAGTTATTGTGGAATAGCCCAGCTGTTTATGGCATATACTACAACTTAAAAATTGTGGTTGTTTCTTGTGGGTGCTTACAAGTAAGAATAAGGAGACATCAGACATAATGCAGTGACTGAATAATTTCTTTAGTTCTGACATGGACAAACAAGCCTTAAAGACTAATATAACTCTGATGGCCAGCAAAACATACTGAACTCCAGCGAAAGCTATCTGATCCACAAACCACGAACAGGAACACCATTTTTACACAACAACGACAACCCTATAAACCCTCTTTGAACACAGCACACATGAGTGCTAAGAAACAACATTATACATTTTTTCTCAGCTATCAGTCCAGGATCTTCCTGATGTGGCTGGTCAGACAGAGATGTATCATGTTCCTGTTTGTGTCTGTTTAAGTTCAAAATCAGTTTCCTGTGGTGTGAGATTCTGCTATTTATTTTCCTGCTGGCCCATCTTCCCTCTGTAGATGCTTCCCATTAAGCCTCCGATATACAGAGTTACTTTCCTCCAGGCTGGAAGAACTCATTAACCAAGGTAGCTTCATGTCAGCTCTTAGGGGGAAACTTCTAAAGCTTCTAAAGGGAGTCCTGCCACATGATAATGAATGATCATCCCACCTCTGTGTCTAAGAGGAAAAAATATGTTACATAATTTCCACCAAGTGTAATAATGCGGAAAGAAGTGTGAGTGTCTAAAATGTGTGAGTCCTTTGTAATGAAGAAGCCCATTCAATGTTAAATATGTTTTAACTGGCTTCAGATCCTAAAGGGTAATTCAGCTAACTACAGCAGCAAAGCCACAGACTAATATGCAGCCATGATTCACTGGCCTGTGAAATTCCTCTGTCCGGGGTCAGGATATGAAAGCCCAGAGTTTAACAAATTAGCAGATGTGTGGCCTATCATCACTCCATTACTACTTTGACTGCCTCCATGTGACCCCTGAGCGTTTCTGGTCATGAAAGGTCTGGCATAGGCTACACTCTCACAAACAAAGGTGCCATAAAGTGTCTGGATCCCTAAATAACCTTTGAGTAGACGTTTTATTAAAGAGCCAGGTTTGTAAATGAAAATGAATGAAAGTTTAACAAGTAAAGGTTCTAGGAAGAACCCATAAATTGGTATAGAACCTTCAAAATGTTCGTCACACTCACAAATTTCCTTTTGTAAATATTTCTTTAGGTAACCAAATGGTCCCTCAATAACATCACTCAAAGAACCCTTTTTGCTGATTGCTTCTATAAACCCTTAAAAGGTTTGTCACACTCACAAATCTCTTTTCAAACATGGTCCTATAGGGAACCAAAGAGGGTTCTTCTATGTTATAGCTCAAAGAACTGTTTGTGTAGGCTACACTTTTGGTTCATACTAGAACCATTTTTGGTTCTTTACATAACCTTTCAACTTTTAATGGACCTTTATTGTAAATGAGATGTGCAAGTGAAGAACCTTTGCAAAGTCTACAGAACCTCTTCAGACTCACAAAGATGGTTCTATAGGGAACCAAAAGTGGTCCTTCTATGGCATCGCCCAAAGAAATCTTTCTGTAAGCTACACTTTAAAAAATAAAGGTGGCAAAATTGTTCTTTGGAATGATGCCATAGACAAACTGCATTGAATTTACTAAAGAATCTTTTAATAGACGGTTCTTTAAAACGGAAAATAGCGTTTTTCAGTTCAATCTCTATCTCTATCTGGGGCAACTGTGTTTCTTTACAACAGCCAATGATGTAGACACAATCCCTTGTACTTAGTGTGTTATAAGTGTATTTGGAGTCAACAAGTGTTTGGTGCTTTTCAAAGTTCTTTTCAATGCTGAGAGAAAAACGTACAAATTATTGTCTATGGTAATCGATGGTATGTTCCAGGTGCAGCATACTGGGTGAAGGAGTATTTCTTTAAAGGACCTTCGTCTGAAAGGTTGTTTAGGGTACTAATGTTGTTCTTCAATGGCGTTACTTCAAAGAGACCTTCTTTTTGTGTTCTACAAGCTTGCTCATTTTATGAGCAGGAGGAGGGAAATTACAGTAGATTAACACGGTCATGGTGCTTGCAGAATGAAAGAGAGGCATATTGAAATATTTTCGAGTGAATTAAAAAGCACTCATAATAAGAGATTTATTATCTGCTTGGCCATGTGAACTTCACAAATGGACCTTGTAAGCTGTGTGAGAAAGCATGTGATCCAAACCAACTGAAATGTAGGGGTTTTGGCAATATTTTGGGCAGACTATGAGTCAGGATTTCATCTCGCCACAACAGTTCTTTTCGGCTGTGGTCTGGGATGCCTTTCGTTGAGCGAATGCTTGAGGTAGCCATGCTGATGGTCAAGGAGGAGGAGGCTTTTGGGGGAGGCTAGCATGCTGCCGGTCAGCCCGGACAGGAGAAGGCAGACACTTGGCACCTCCAGGCGCCCAGAGCTGGAGAGCGAGCTGCCCTGAAAAAACTTGGCAGATTAGCGCTGCTATGTGGAGGACCTCACGTAGCAATTCCTCACTGCTGCGAAAGTAAGCGTGCGCGAGTTCATGGATTAGCGTTTTGATACATTTTTAGTTGACGTGAAAGCAGAGAGCTTTTACTACAGTTCACTTGTCGCACTGTTCACGGCAGTCATGTACATTGTTGGAGACGGAATGAGACTCAAAGCAGGGGCTCTGTATGTTGATCCAAAACTTGTGGGCGTGTTATGTGAAGTTCAAGAGGTTCTACGAGTAGAACGTACTGCATGTGATTTTCTTTTGCTCTTGTTATTGTTTGGCTAAATGGTGTCGACAAGAGGAGGCTGTGTTCCCATTCTGAGTCTTGGTTCCTCTCAAGGTTTGTCCTTGCCACTGTGACCCTTGGCTTGCTCACTGGACTCTGATTTTAGGTGAAGCTGCTTTGTAACAGCACTCGTTGTTTTGACTTGATTTTTACATTTTCTTTGTTTACACCTGATGTATGGTTCTTTACATTTCTTCTTGAAAAAACAAAAAGACATCATGGTGCATTTACATGGAAAATTTGATTTAAATTGATTTAATTGTTTTAAAAGTGTGCATCATTTCCACATGAATAAAGTATATTACATCAACACACAAGAATCTGCTGATGTAAAGCAGTACTGTGCAAAAGTCAGAGACCACCTATTAGTTTACTATAGTCCGGTCAAAAAGGCCATTTAAGTACAAGTTATTCATTTTTTAGAAATCAGAAAACATTTCACAGAAAATTACACAGAAGCCTCAACAACTAAATATAACATTAATTTTTTCAGTATGTAACGTGTCCATCTTCTACTTTTATTACAGCTTCCATTCTTTTCAGGAAGCTTGCTTTTAGTTTTCTGCAGAAATATTTTTTCACACTTCCAAAGTTCAGTCTTAGAAGACTTTTTTTTTTTTTTTGCTTCTAACGTCCTAAGAATCCCAGTTACAAATTTAGACTCACCTATAAAACTTCTCAGAGGTCCAGTTTTGGGGTTCTTGTACAAATGTTCCTCTTTTTTGTCTATTTCCTTTTCTCAGTAACATCTTCTTGGCAGCTACATGTCCTTTCATCCTCTACAGTGGAAGGATGGACAGAAAAACTAATGATTTTTTTTCTGATTTGAAGCAAGAGTGTAGCTTGATTTTCTCCTATCTCTCAAAGCTGAAAGCTTTAAGTCCTGTTTATCTGATGGTGGCAGTTTTGGTGGTCTACCAGGCCTTGCATTGTAGTTAGAAGTCCCATCCTCTCTGTATCATACAAAAAATGTAGATGCTGCTGAAGGGTTTTGTGTAATTTTCTGTGATATAAAAGAAATGTGATTACCTCAAATTGAATCGATAGTAAAGGTTTTGAATTCCACAGTTTACAATCAATAAGTAAAGGAGATGTAAGACATGCAATGTTTAGAGAGGCAAGTATGAGGGTGTGTGAAAAATATAAGAAGGAGTCATTGGAGTCATTGTCATTGGTTATATAGCATTTAGGAGAATATAATGGGCTCATGCGCTTTCCCAGACATATCATGCTGGCAAATCTGATTTCCATGAGAGCAGTGTGGAATTCTGCTACAATGCATTAGCATAGACTGTAGAGTTTTTACTGTGTGCTAGATTTTCATGTCTCCTCTAACAGCAGAAATAATGAAGACTGTCTCCCGGTTGATCTGTCTGGGTTTGGCCATTGTCCTGCTCTTCCCCATTAGTGAGGGTTTATAAGTAGCCTGCAGGAAATGTGTTAAAGCAAAACACATTGAACTTAAATCAGCAAAAACTTCACTGAAACTCTCTATTCAACCCACCAAAGTTCTAGAAACTGTCTGTATATACTGCATAATGTTGGTGGAATTTCCATGAGATTGAAGTACAACTGCATGTATCAGTGAGATGTCCCTAATTTATGACACTCACAAAGTCCATGAGATTCGAGATGGATGTAATTGATTCCTTTGCAGATGTTGCACACGGCACATGGACAGATGGACAGACGCATGA